TATGAGCCTCTCTCTGCACCATCTGATGCACTTGTCATTGCTTTTTTGTTAGATAGAGATGACTTTATGTTCAGTAAAAATTAAAAATTTATTAACCTTGCACAAAAAGTCATTATCATAGCCTTGCACAAAGCAGGAGAGCTTTGTGCCAGGCTATAATAGCATCTTTAGTTCTGTCACTAATGTCACACTTATGATCCATGTTGTACTGCTCTTCCCAGCAATATGCAAATTTGCATTACAATTTAGTTTTTTTTTTTGCTGTTTGTCTGGCTGTTTTTGCTAATATTCTAATTCTTTGTCATGGTCAAACTGTTATTCTAGTTTTTGCCATTTCATTTCCATTTGTAACAAAAAAAAAAAAAAAACATTTGGTTAATTTGTCTGATTAATGGATATAATAAATATACATAAGCACTGTTTATGTAATGTCAAAAAAGTTTCATACTCTGTGCTGTTCATGAGAAAATGTACACTAAACTTTCAGTTAAGTGAATATCCTAATATTTTGTCTAGGAGTTGTATATGATAAAGTCAGAAGGAGTAGATGGAATACCAGCTGAATTTCTAAAAGGGTTAGGCAAGGAAGGAATCGAGAAAATAACAGACTTATGCAATCTCATATATAAAACAGGAGAATGGCCTGAAGACTTTGCTCAAAGTATTTTGATACCTATACCAAAGAAAGCAAAAGCTAAAAAGTGTAGTGATTTTAGAACAATTAGTTTAATTTTACATGCCTCAAAAATTCTTCTTAAAATCATTAACAGAAGACTCTACAACAAGGCTGAAACATTTCTGTGAAGAACAATTTGGATTCAGAAAAGGAAAAGGAACAAGGGATGCCATTGGCCTCTTGAGAACAATCTGTGAAAGAAACATTGAGGTTAATAAGGATACGTACATTTGCTTTATTGACATGGAAAAGGCTTTTGATATGGTTAACTGGACAAAGCTAATGGAAATCTTAAGAAAAATAGGAACAGATTGGAGAGATAGAAGACTCATTGCTTCACTTTATATGAATCAATCTGCCATTATCCAAACAAAAACTGGAGAAAGCAAACCATGCAGTATTGGAAAAGGAGTCAGGCAAGGGTGTACACTTTCACCTACTCTTTTTAACATTTATCTTGAGGAATTAATGAATGAAGCCATAAGTGAGGACAGTCTCGGAATTAAAATTGGAGGCCAATTAATACAAAGTATTAGGTTTGCAGATGATATTGCTTTACTTGCACCAAATGAACAAACTCTACAATGTTTGGTAACAAAACTCAACAAAACTTGCAAAAAATTTGGAATGAAAATTAACACAGCTAAAACAAAAGTGATGAAAGTTGGAAGGCTAATTAGCAAAGATTTGAAAATCCTAATTGATGGAAACAAAATAGAGCAAGTTCAACATTTTAGGTATCTTGGCAGCATTATTCAGGGAGATGGCAGATGTTAAAAAGAAATCAAAGAACGAATTAGGGCTGGAAAAATGGCTTTTTATAAGAAGAAGAACCTTCTTATTGGAAAAATGAACCAAACACTTAAAAAGAAGTTAATAAAATGCTTTTCCTGGAGCACAACTTTATATGGAGCAGAGACTTGGACCTTAAGGAAAAAGGAAACAAACTACCTTGAAGCATATGAAATGTGGTTATGGCAAAGAATGAAGAAAATCAAGTGGACAGAAAAGGTTAAGAATGAAGATGTTTTAAATTTGGTCCAGGAACAGCAATCTCTTTTAAAAACAATACAAAGAAGAAAAAATAACTGGCTAGGTCATATATTGCGAGGAGAAGGATTAATGCGAGTGGCATTAGAAGGAAAAATTGATGCAAGGAAACAAAGAGGAAGAAAAAGAAAGTATTGATAGATGATGTTTTACTAGGCAAAACTTATAAAGAAATAAAAGAGGAAGCCCAAAATAGAGAATGTTGGAGAAGGAGAATTCTATAATTTGACTGCTTTCCACGGACCTGTCCTAGGACAGAACACCCATGAATGAATGAATGATTACTACTATCTATATATTTGACTTATGCATATAAATGAACAACAATTACTTCAGACAGACTTGCCTGAAGTAATTGTTGTTCATTTATCATTCAAGCATAAATAATATCAACACAAATGATTATTATTTTAAAAATCAGTATAGATATTATCATCAAATACTTTCCAAAGCACCCAGCATTGTCTGGAAAACTAACGAACTAGTGCATTAATTGGATTAAATTTTGTTATGGTATGTAATGTGCTTATAGGTATATTTAGTGTTAACCTTCTGTACAAATAAATATTCATTAAGTATACTTAATTAATTTTTAATGTCTAGCCCTCTAACTGAATAAAATGAAATTTTCAAAAAAACAAAAAAAAATGAAACCAACATTTTTTTTTTAAGTTCTGTAAATTCATTGTTAATGATGGCCTCTCATGTCCAGCAGTAGATCAATCTGAGGACAAAACTGAAACGACTTCTGGTATGACTTAAATAAAAATATAAATTATATTTAATATTTTTCATAAAAATCAAGTTGACTTATTAATGACTTTTTAATNATTGCTTCACTTTATATGAATCAATCTGCCATTATCCAAACAAAAACTGGAGAAAGCAAACCATGCAGTATTGGAAAAGGAGTCAGGCAAGGGTGTACACTTTCATCTACTCTTTTTAACATTTATCTTGAGGAATTAATGAATGAAGCCATAAGTGAGGACAGTCTCGGAATTAAAATTGGAGGCCAATTAATACAAAGTATTAGGTTTGCAGATGATATTGCTTTACTTGCACCAAATGAACAAACTCTACAATGTTTGGTAACAAAACTCAACAAAACTTGCAAAAAATTTGGAATGAAAATTAACACAGCTAAAACAAAAGTAATGAAAGTTGGAAGGTTAATTAACAAAGATTTGAAAATCCTAATTGATGGAAACAAAATAGAGCAAGTTCAACATTTTAGGTATCTTGGCAGCATTATTCAGGGAGATGGCAGATGTTAAAAAGAAATCAAAGAACGAATTAGGGCTGGAAAAATGGCTTTTTATAAGAAGAAGAACCTTCTTATTGGAAAAATGAACCAAACACTTAAAAAGAAGTTAATAAAATGCTTTTCCTGGAGCACAACTTTATATGGAGCAGAGACTTGGACCTTAAGGAAAAAGGAAACAAACTACCTTGAAGCATATGAAATGTGGTTATGGCAAAGAATGAAGAAAATCAAGTGGACAGAAAAGGTTAAGAATGAAGATGTTTTAAATTTGGTCCAGGAACAGCAATCTCTTTTAAAAACAATACAAAGAAGAAAAAATAACTGGCTAGGTCATATATTGCGAGGAGAAGGATTAATGCGAGTGGCATTAGAAGGAAAAATTGATGCAAGGAAACAAAGAGGAAGAAAAAGAAAGTATTGATAGATGATGTTTTACTAGGCAAAACTTATAAAGAAATAAAAGAGGAAGCCCAAAATAGAGAATGTTGGAGAAGGAGAATTCTATAATTTGACTGCTTTCCACGGACCTGTCCTAGGACAGAACACCCATGAATGAATGAATGATTACTACTATCTATATATTTGACTTATGCATATAAATGAACAACAATTACTTCAGACAGACTTGCCTGAAGTAATTGTTGTTCATTTATCATTCAAGCATAAATAATATCAACACAAATGATTATTATTTTAAAAATCAGTATAGATATTATCATCAAATACTTTCCAAAGCACCCAGCATTGTCTGGAAAACTAACGAACTAGTGCATTAATTGGATTAAATTTTGTTATGGTATGTAATGTGCTTATAGGTATATTTAGTGTTAACCTTCTGTACAAATAAATATTCATTAAGTATACTTAATTAATTTTTAATGTCTAGCCCTCTAACTGAATAAAATGAAATTTTCAAAAAAACAAAAAAAAATGAAACCAACATTTTTTTTTTAAGTTCTGTAAATTCATTGTTAATGATGGCCTCTCATGTCCAGCAGTAGATCAATCTGAGGACAAAACTGAAACGACTTCTGGTATGACTTAAATAAAAATATAAATTATATTTAATATTTTTCATAAAAATCAAGTTGACTTATTAATGACTTTTTAATTTTTCCTGAACAATGATTTATATTGGTTACCATTGATCTACACTCTTATTACCTTGGAATTCTGGGAAATATGAGATAATTTAATCATGATAAATATCTTACAGACTCATATGTTAATGCAATTCATAAATATATATTAAATTACAGATGATATTATTATTATTATTATTTTATTATTATTATTATTATTAAATTCATTGCTTACATTGAAGAAAATGTTCAGAAAATTCTTTCAAAAACTAAGCAAAAGATAAATTAATTTAAAAAGCAGTTGAATGCAACTCATAGACTAAGATAATATGAATACTCCAAATTGTGATTTGATATAATATGGCACTGGCAAAATAAAATAATGCATTTATATTATGTCCATAGTTTCCTTTTAGTTTTGGATTTTATTCAAAATTTTCTCCAATTTTTCTCTAGTCTCTAAATTTAAATATGTAAGATAATTAATAATCAAAATTTTTTTAATGTTTATTTTTTATTATGTAGTTAGTATCCATAAATATAACAGTATGCTTTAATCATTTGAGAAATATGCTTACTTTGTTCACCATACAATAAATTCCTGATGATAATATAATTAAACTAAATGAAAGTATTAAAATTCCTTTTAAAAATGTAATTTTATGTAAATTGTAAATCAGCATCTAAAAATAATTAATCATTTATGCTTATTATTAATCCTAGTATGCTAGAATTTTTTAAAAGCATTAAATTTGTCAAAGAAAACACAGTAAATATTAAAATTAGGTAAATTTTCGATTTATCTGAAATTTATCACTTTATCACTATGACTAAATATTAGATTACTTGCAGCTTTTTAAATTATTATTGTTACCAAATAATAAAATAAACCTGATTTAAACTAAAGTTTAATAATAAAGTATACCTGGATACTTTGTTATCTGTAATGCATTTTCACTCTTATGAAGTTTCTTGGTCACAGTCTGCCAATTATGATTTAATTCTTCAAAATCTATTGCTTCTTTAGGCATTAAACATCTTAATTCACCATTAACAAAAATATTCTGCAAACAATGATTTTCCAATTAAATTGTGTACAATCAAATGTATTTTAAAAATTAAAATACAATTAAATTACCTGAAGTTGATTACATTTCTTTTGAATTTCTAATATTTTTTCAAGCATTTCTTTCATTAGTGATAAAGAACATTCTAAAATATGGATTTCTTGTTTAAATGGTTTTGCATAAATAGAATATTTAATTGATGTAATTGTCATCAAGTTATCATCAATCTCATGAAAAATTGTATCTATATCTGTAAGATGATACATATTTTTGACTGCCATTAATGTCAATGTTTTAGCTTTCCACGAACTTTTAATTTCTTCTATGATCTTTAAAAATATAATAAAATAATTGTTACAATAAATAATTAAAATTAATACATTTAAAATACAATAATTCAAAATCACGAAGAAATGACAGAAAGTAAAATTCCCTTTATTTAATTCCCATGAAAAAAAGGCCTGAACTTTGGTGTAATTCTGGTTTTGGTTATTACTTTATTTTTTTGTCACATCGATGATTGTTGATGGTAAAAAATGCTTTTCAAAGATGCATTTTTTATCACCAAGCTATCCATTCATTGATATACCATTACAATAAGTATCTCAATAAACAAAGGAAATATTTCAAAAAATAAATTGGATATATCTGTTCTACATTTCTCCACCACAACTTTTATACTCAAAATTTAAAATAAATAAATAAATATTTGTTAAAAACTACTTTGATGAAAAAAACAAACAGTGGTTACTAGATTCTATAAATGTGCATGAGCTTTATTATTAGAATTATCATCATGTCTTTGAAGAAAGTGTAATGAATTTTCAAATTTACATAATGAACTAAATGGAAAAGTTTTCAATATCAAATTTATATCTATTTATACAGTATTTTTATTTTTATGTACAATAAATGCAGTTTTGATTTTTAAAAAATGTTAAGCATTAAGATCTATTTTCATCTAAGCGTATGTTTCCTTTTTACTTCCATATTTGTTGTTTTAATGATTGAAAGATTGCTCTAATGGGATTTCAACCCTATAAATAGACCAGAATTACTAGTGATATAATCCTGTAAATGGAATCATTTCAGTGGCATGCAATGACATTTGATGATTGGGAAGCTGTGCTGGACCCAGGATAGAATCATTGAAAGTGTTATACAATATTTTTGTGTATAGCATTCACCAGCTAAACTGCAAGAGGTTGCTGCTCTGTAAAGAGCACACGCAAATGTGTATGATCTGGCTGCTTTACACCATTCAAATATTTTTGCCATGGAAGCTGTCCCATATTCAAAAATACAGCACTTCCATTGGGAATATGCATATATGAATTTATATTAAAATATACAATAGCAATCTTATCATTTTTTTTCACGTGTAGTATAAAAATTTGCAATAAAATACATAATGCAGTTATAATAAAATATTAATTTTAATTAATTCAAAATACAAGGTGCGTTCCATAAATAATGTGACCAAATTCATAAAAAATCATTTATTGAACATATTCTTACAATTAGTCAAAAATCTTCGAAATAGCACCCTCCTGCATTGATACACTTTTGAAGGCAGTGTTTCCANCAGTGGCGTACCGTAGTGGGGGCGGCAGGGGCGGCCCGCCCCGGGCGGCACTTTTTAGGGGGCGGCAAAATTTTACAATAAATAACAATAATATCTTGTAAAAATTTGAAACATCCTAATCTATACTTGCATCGCGCCTACGATAGTGCTATCGTCCGAACAGTCCGAGAATCGGCTCGCCGGGTGAACTAGTAACTTTTTCATCCGAGGAATTCCTGCGAAACCTGTTGACTTTTATTTGCTTGTACCATTCATTTGCGTTCATATACACCACTAATATCCAATAGAACTATTTTAAACAGGTCGCTGCACTACCACTGAATTTTTCATTGCTTGTTCTCTGATAAAACCGAATTTTGGTGTTTTAAATTGAAATACCTAAATAAGGGGAGACGAAATTTTCCTCCGCCCCGGGCGGCTGACACCCACGGTACGCCACTGTATTGATAGTAACATATCATTGTGGTAATGATTAGTTAGAACCTGTGCCATTGATCATGATAAATTACTAAATTGAATGTCACCATAAAGCAAGTATATTGTATTAAAAATTATCACCTTATATTAAAAAATATAGCTTATACTTACACAAAGTAATAAATTATATGTATATTTTATGCTTCTAATGTTAATTTAATTTTTTTTCTATTAATTTCAAAAACAAAATTTCTTTTTTATTTTGTTGGGTACAGTAATATCCTGCTTTACACGGAGGATGTGTTCCTAGATGACAAAGCACTAAATGAAACAGCATTAAACGAGACTATTTTAACAGAGTAATAGGGAAAGGGGAACACGTGACCAAAAATTAACAAATTTTACTTTAATTTTAAGTTACTTTTATATTAATTTGTATAATATATATTAAATAACACACAAACATATGTACACAGAAATGTAAAGTTCATTTTTTATGACGATGGTCCTGGCTTTTCTGAAATTCTTGTTTTTTATGATAAAGTCATGTAGTTTCATTCGTCACTTTTTTTCTTTCCATGTTAGTAGCAGAAAATCACATCCAAAATACCTCATTTTGCTTTTACACCCCTTTTGAAATCTGGATCATTCGCTACAATTTGATCAATGATTTTGGTTATCGTTACCAATTCTTGGAAAGATATTGGAAAAACTAATGACTAATCATCTCACATGGCATCTTGAGTTGTCACACAAACTTAATGACTATCAATATGGTTTTCAGCATCAAAAGTCTACCTGCAATGCTATAGATATGGTGGTTGGAAAAATTCAGTGTCTTTTAGAAAATTACACATATGTTCTTGGATTGAGTTTAGATATAAGCAAAGCATTTGACTCTGCTTGGTGGCCTTTGGTCCTTTACCAACTAAGAACTTTTGACTATCCTAATAATATCTATCAGCTTTTTAACGATTATCTGGACAATAGGAGTGCAACCTTTTCTGTTGGTCATCTAGATTTTCACAGGAAAGTTACAAGAGGATGCCCTCAGGGTTCCGTTTGTGGCCCCTTACTTTGGATTGTGCTCTTCGATCATTTCCTCTATCAGGACTTTGGCCAGGACGCCTTAATTGCATATGCTGACAATGCTTTTGTCCTTATCGGGGAAGAGGGCGATAAGTCGTGGGTTTGAGTGGCTGTGTGGAAGTTAGGCTCCACTTCAACTTGATTTTTTTCGAAAGGTTTTGGTGATATCTTAATAAATGATACATCATTCAATTCCAGATAATGAGTAGATTCGAAAATCGTCATTTTTGACAAAATTGGACCACAAGTTTTTAGACTGTGTCAATTTGAAATTTGGATATTTTTGAACCTTTTTACAAGATGATATGACCCGATTTTCCAGATTGAAGTATGGTGGACTATAGACATCATATAGACATCATTACTGTGAGTAACATACTTAAATTTGGTGACTTTTGACCTTTTAGTTAAGGACTTATTAGACTTTTTAATTCAGAACATTGCAGGCCGCTTCGGGCCGAATATTGGCCATCCAGAAATTTAATTGACATCATCTGAGAGAGGGCAATTTCCGCTATATTCTGTGTAATTTTCATAGTGCTAAGTAGAATAGTTTTTGAATAATCATAATTTTAAAACTTAAGTGAATTCTGCACTGAACCAAGCAGGTCATTGACCTCTACAACTGTCAGCTTATCAACGGTTTTTCCAACAGTTGTTTGTAACAATTGTCTGTAACGGTGCTCTATGATGAATCTCTTATGAGATTCATCATAGAGCATAAGAACATAAGAGATTCATCATAGAGCAAATGACCAAGATTATTTATTTAATGGAATCAACTATCAAAGACAAATTATCAGACATGCAAGTGGAAAAATTCTCACCAATGGTCACAAAAGAAGAAATAACAGATCTTTTCAACAAACACAATAAAAAAATGATGAAGGCCTTAAAGGAAATCAAACAAGAAGTTAATGATCTAAAAATGGCTACAAAAACCAATCTCCAAGAAAAAGAGGAAAAAATCAAAATTTAAGACAGAACTTACAGATTTATTAAAGAAAAATACAGATAAAATGATGGATTCCATTTCCACAATAAAAGGAAAAATAAATACACTAAAAGAATCAGTATCAAGTAGCCCAAACACACAGAAAACTGAAACCATAAGTTACAATGATGTCTTAAAACTGGGGAAGAAGCAACCAGATGTCAACCTACAACCCCCAACACCACAATATACGGTACTTGTTCATAGTAAAAATAAAGAACATACTTCAGAGAAAACAAAAGAAATTCTAATAAAAAAGATCAACCCAGTAGATCTAAATATCGGGGTAAAGAGAATCAGACTGTTAAATAATGGAGAATCGCGATATAGATAACATGAAATCATTAGCAGATGCATTAACAACAGTTAAAGAACTAGAAAATACTCCAAGATAAAAAAAATTACCTATGGTTAAGATAGTTTCTGTACCAAAAACAATAGATAAAAAGGAGTTAATCCAAATGATATACGAACAAAACTATTGTTTTTATAATAACACATCGGAAAGTATTTTAGAAGAAGAAATTACAATCAAATTTCCAATTCCCCAGAAAGATGATAAATTAATCACTTGGGTGATTGAGGTGTCACCCATGATGAGAGAGATAATGATTAGAGAGGAAAAGCTACACATTGGCTGGGTAGGATGCCCTGTTTACGACTATGTATCAGTGAAGAGATGCTTCAAGTGACTTGATTTTGGACATTTTGGAAAGGACTGCTTATCGCAAAACCAGGTGTGTAGCCATCGTGGTGAAGCACATGTATATAAAGATTGCAATAAGGAAGGAAAAGTAAAATGTGCAAACTGCACAAGAAAACAATACACTGATGTCAATCACATCATCATGGATAAGAACTGCCTGTGCTACATAAATCAACTCCAAAGGTATATTGGAAGAAAGCATAAACCTATCACCGAATGTAGTCATTGCACATACTGGAAGTTATCCAGTATGTCATCAACTTTGTAACGAACCACGAGTTGTGGCTCCTATTCTGATTCCCTTGTTATTGTTTATGTAACAAAATTCTATTCTGTATTCAGTTATATACAGTCAGTCAGTATTATTTATTAAAGTACAGCGTACATACTTGGTGTCGCGTTAAGCATGACCAAGGTAGAATATAGGATATATAAAGATATGTGACAAAGTAGTGACAATACAGTAGAGTGATGTAAAATATAATAATAATACGATACACAGAACAAACCTAAGTATTACAGAATACAGAATAAAAAC